ATCACTTTCACTATCAACAAGAATGTTAAAATCTCCCATTATTATAATTTTATCAGTATTTAATAATAGATCAGTCAGAAAATCTGAGAACTCTGATAAAAACTGAGAATAAGGGCATGGTGGACGATATATAACAGCTAGTAGTAGTGGTTTTTCTGAGGAAAGCTGAGGTCGGAGAAGAAGCAGCCATGATGCTAAGCTAACATTAGCGAGAGATACAAGATCCCGAAATCCACAAATAACATTACGAAGWGTTGAAAAATAATAATAAAAGATGCAAACTATTTCAAAGGTGATTTAGGACTAGAAGTAGAACCGTGCAAAGGTAGATAATCCAGTGAGTTAAGGAAATTCCCAAAAAAACAAATGTATATGTGTATGGAGGRAGACGGTAGGTCGGAACTCTAAAGTTTGTGGTGCTTGTTAACGGAGCAGTCTTTCACTGTCAGCCTGTCAGCGTCTGAATCCTCCATCCAGCAGGGACGACACAGCAGCTTTCTGACCCACATTTCATCCAAACAGCACAGATACACAATATACTGAATACAACCAAGTTGGGATGTTGTGTAAAACATGTAAACAGAACATGATGATTTGCAAATCTGTTTCAACACATTCAATTGAATACTCTGCAAAGACAARAAAGTTTTTAAAGTTCAAACAGATACATTTCATAGTTATTTTTTATTTTTTGCAAATATTCACTCATTTCGAATTTGATGCTACAACAGGTTCCAAAAAAGTTGGGACAGGGGCAACAAAAGAATTTAAGGATTTCATCTTCTACAGTCCATAAAATCATCAAAAGATTCAGAGAATCGAGAMAAATCTCTGCAAGTAAGCWTCAAGGCTGAAAACCAACACTGAATACATGTGACCTTTGACCCATCAGGCAGCCTTGCTTTAAAAACTGTCGTTCTGYAACACATATTAGCACATGGGCTCAGGGACTCTTCAGATGACCATTTGTTCATCACTGCATCTACAAGAGCAAATTAAAACTCTACCATGCAAAGTGAAAGTGATAAATCAACAACACCCAGAAACACCGCCGGCTTCTCTGGACCTGAGCTCGTCTGATATGGATGGGGGTGTGTTAGTGCCAATGGCATGRGTAACTGTCACCTCTGTGAAGGCACCATTAATGCTGAAAGCCACATCCAGGTTTTGGAGCAACACATGCTGCCATCCAAGCTGTGTCGTTTTCAGAGACATCCTGCTGATTTCAGTAAGACAATGCCAAGCCACACTGTTTTTGTAATGGGTTGCAGACATCAAATTCAAAATGAGTGAATATTTGGGGGGAAAAAAGAAAAAATAATAAAATGTTTTTTTCAACATTAAATATCTTGTCTATTTAGAGTATTCAGTTGAATATAGGTTGAAAAGGATTTTCTGGTTTTTTTTTTTCATTTCTGTTATTTATGTTTTACACAACATTGGTATTGTGGTTGTAATTTCACAGTTAAAGATGTGCAGCCTCATCTTTGACTGTTTCAAAAAAAATAAATAAATAAATTGTTGCTGAACTGTTGCCACTGCTGACTGGTGCACCAACATCATCACGTTGTATGTGACTCTTGTGTTTTGATGCAGGTATGCCAGTCTGTATTTCTGTGCTGGTGTGGACAGCCAGGATAATGAACTGCTCATTCTTGAAGTTCTGCACAGATATGTTGAGCTGCTGGATAAATACTTCGGCAATGTAAGTATAAAAGACTGCTTTGGCCCAAAGAGGATGGAAGAACTGCAGTATTTAGAGGCTTGTTTAGATTATTATTGCTCACTGCTGAAGGCAAAAGAACGATTGTGTGTCTGGTTTTTGTTGCCTTTTTAGGATGTTTAAAGTGTAATCACCTACCTTGTAAGGATCAGTTGTCCACATGAGAACCAAAGCTCAGTCTCAATACAGTGGAACAGGTTTTGGATCAGTTTAGATCAGGGTCAGGATGAAGGCTTTGATGGTGTGTCAAAACTGCAGTAAAATGAAGAGGGGAAACCGATTCTTCTTTTCAATCTCGCCAGAGTTCTGTATGTTTATGAACAAGTGAGCAGCAAGAGATGAGGCTGTGATTTAGGCAAACAGTTTCAATGTCATGGTCTATATTCATGTACACGTCTTGCAAAGCTTACCTCAAACGTGTTCTATCAGAGGAGAGTTCTTGTCCAGGTGTCAAAATACAGCTGTGAAGCTCCTGTGACATGTTGAAGACACTTTTTGTTGCTTTGAGTAAAATAAACAACTTTTTGCACAATTTCTTGAATATGTTCCAAACTTGAATGACAGGGCTGTGCTTCTGCAACTCATGGAGGAAATCAAGAATGTCTAAGAAAAAATTTTAAAGTCTATACCAGGCCTATTCAACTGGTGGCCCGCTGGCCATATCAGGTCCACRGATGATCAAAGTTTGGCCTGCYAGTTGGTTCATTAACCAAATCAAACTCCCGGTTTTCTACTACTAAACTATTACTATAACATCTTGTAATTAGACATAGACATGGGGTATCTACAGAAACATCAGAATATTGGCTAGAAGCTAGTAAAAACATTTCTAAACTGAAACTAAAACTACAAGCACTTGAAGATAAAACTCAGTCAAAATAAAATTGGTTTAAAAATTTGACAAATCAGAGACGCCAAATTAATATTTGTGTTTTGTTTTTGATATTTTTAAACATTTTATTACATTGAAT